AAAATATATTCAAAAACTTTTAATTTCATCTCATTGATATGATGCTTAATTAAGTTTTTAGGCTTTATTACATCACCAGGTTCTATAATCTATCACAAACAAAATTTAAAAGCTAAAAACAAGTTTATTTCAAATACAAGTGCTTAATTTTTATTTCATTAATCATGATTTTTTCTTATTTTTTAACTTGGCCTCTATGTACTTAGAAATTTTATTGTTTTCATTAAAATTAATTCATAATGATAATATTTCAAGGAATGATTTTTATTCATTGAAGACTAGATTTTATATCAGCAAATTACTAGAAATGAAATTAAAGGTTAAAGGGACAATATATTTTTTATTGTATAAATAAATAGAACACATATATGTATAATATTTCTTTTAAAACAGAAAATATTGAACGGAGAAACAAAACATGAAAATCTCATAAAAATTATAGATCAATTAAAATTTGAAAATATTTAAAAACATCACCTCACCTTTCATCTAGTGTTTCAAAAAGCAAAATTCCGACTAAACTCTTTATAATTTTATGAAAAATTTAATTTAAATTATTGGTTAGCTTTAAACACTCTTATTCTCAACGCAATAGATTAAAGACTGTAATTCTTATCCACTTCTAAAACTTTCATGCATTATTATTATTTTAACATATATTTTATGATTAAATAATTAAATGAAGATTTTCAATATATTGAGAGGGATTATAATTATATATAAGGTACAATTTCTCTTAAATTCAAATTCAAAGGGAAAGAATTAGAATATAATTATAAGGATTGTTACATAAAAGCCAATAATCAAATTATAGATTGTCAAACAGAGATTATTTTACCAATAGATTTAGATATAAATTATTCTTTTTCAATTGGGAATGGAGATAGTGTTAGGGTTGAGGAGGATATGGACTATATAGTAGATAGTATTTCTGATCTTGAGGAAACAAATAATATTTATGTGATCGATGGATTTTCATAATTTTAAATATCTAACTTGGCAATAAGTCCCAATGAAAAATTTATTTTATTTTTGCTAAAGTAAATATCCTATCAAAAATAGAAACAGAAAGAATAATAATTATTGATTTAATGAACTAAAAAATTAGAAAAGTTTTGTATAAATCATATTTTATATAACCTCCTCAGCCTAGTTTTTCCAATGATTGCTCTTTAGCATTTATAAATATATCAAAAAATTCTACTTCAAGATTTTTATTGCTAAATTTAAGTGATGGAATTATAAACTAAAATATTATTCAATTAAAGCATTAAGTAAAGAAAATAGATTATGATAATCAAAAAACTTTTTTTATATTACTTAAGAGGCTGAAATCTTTGAATTACCTTTAAATTTAGAAAAATTGACTGTCTAAAAATCGAGGATAATTTCTTATCAACCAAAAGAATTTTTTGAATTTACTGATCATTATGAATAACCCATTTTACATCTTCTAGGTAATCGCTTAGCACTAATTCTTGATGTTTATGGATAATAGTTTGTTTGCAGAATTAATTAATAATTTAAAGTTATCAAATATTATAATACTAATGAATAGTAAATTTTATATTAAATATTTAAAAACATACTTGTTGTAGCTTCTGATTTATTTAAATCAGAATATTTTTTAAAAGATATCTCAACAGGAAAATTAATCAGAAAGATAAAAATGTTACAATATTAGGAAAGAATGTAGAGCTTTTATTCAAATAAAACATACTTTCTCTAAATTTAAAAAAAATCAAACAATTTTGATTTTTTTTGTAATAACAAAATATGCAATTGGATTATATTTGATTTACTTCGAGGAACCGAAACTTAAAGAGAAATCATTAATTTAACTAATAAACCTATTCGTCAAGAAAAGTTTTCACGCAATTTGACTGTCCAAAACTTTGATAATAAAATCATATATAATTTGAAGCATTGATTGTCTATTAAAATTTTAAATAAATTATTATAACTTTTTCAATTTATTTTTTACTTAAAATTTTGCCTATTAAACGATTAGTTGAAACTTTCATATATCTGATTCAAAAATGTATGATAACTATATACAATTAATGGGAGGGCTAGGAAATAAGTGAAAATTCTAAATTATTTTTAATTAATCAAAGATAAAAATGAGTCTATGTAAGTGGACTATTGGAGTTAAATAAAATTCTTTTTTTTATCTTTTCTCTGAACAGCTTACCTCTTCATCTATTACGATAATGTTCAATAGCTCCTCAATCTTAAGATAAAAAGAATAATGTTATTTCATTATATAATAATCTAAATATTTAAAAAATAAATTATAAAATGATTTACTAATTATCTTTTTTTTTTTGTTCAAATTAAAATAAAATAATCAAATTAATATTTTATCTCTACATATTAAATCGGAAAATTATTATGAAATTATCCAACTTGTGAACCAGAAATATAATTGATTTGATTCATTAAAAAGTCATGATGAAAATTTAATAGCATTTCTCCCTAAAACTTGCCTGCTAATTCTATCCTATTCAAGCTGTGATGATTTGTTAATCTCATCCTGGTTATTCTTGCTCTTCTAAAATAATCTCTTATTTTTATAATATAGACCCTAAGTTTTGAATAGATGTGGAAGTAGATTTAGGTATAGAATTCATATGATTAATAATTAGAGGTATAGAATCTACTTTTTAGATACTTTCATTTAATTAAATCATATCATCTCAGTTCGCAGATTAGGTTTTTTATGTTAGAATCTATTTTTGGCTATCAATTTGATTCTGTCAAATATGGAAATGTTTATAGATAAAAACATAATTTATTACAACCCAAGTAATTCTCTGTACTTAGATATGAGGAAATGATACTTACTTTATCTTAATCAAATTATCTGTATACTTATTTTTGGAGCCCTTTTGAGCTCTTGCAAGAAGTAATAGTCTTTATTTTATTGTATTAAATTCGGCTTTGCAGATATGACTTTTGGGATAAGCAAATTACTCACATGATATCTTAATAAATATTGCAATTTAAAGATAAGAACGCAAATGATTTCAAATGAAAGTTTATGAAGAGATATCCTTCATGATTTTTCAGTATCATCGATTTAAAATTTTTTTATTAGTTTCAATCTTAAATTATATCTGAATGAAATCCAATTCATTATTAATAATGCAGACATAGAAATTAAGGCATGATATACAGATTAAATTACTTATTTTCTGTTTGTTATTTATTCAATAAAACAAGCATTTTCTTCAACTTTAAAAATTTGGCTTATTGAAGCTGCTAAAGTTTGCTTTGAATTATTTTATTTTTAATTTGGTAAGTGTTTTCTTGAGAAAAAGTCAATATACAATAACTTGTTGGGAACTGCAATCAAAAGATAATCATAACTCTTATATATTTCTTAATTTTTGGGCAATACTAAAATTAATATTACAATATTATTAATTATTTGAGATGTTATCTCTTAAATGCCCAAATTTTCACGAACAGCTTACGATTTGTTTTGCAAAAACTAATTTTGTTAGGAGAAAAGATTATTTTGTTATGCGAAACATCTCGATCATTTGAAAGAAACATAAAAGATAGAGAGAGATAATACCTAATTTTGTTGGGGATATTGAAAATGAATGTTAAAAATTGTCAGACGAGTTCAAAATACCATATAAGGAAGTTAATTAATTATATGATTAATATTAAAAGGCTTTTTTAAAAAATATTCAATTTCAGGTAATGCTTTCTAATAATCAAACTCAGATTAAATAAATGATGCTTTATGCAGATTTGTAAAATTGAAAGAAGTTAAAGAAATATTATAGAGTATTGATGAATTAAATTTAAATGAGTTGAATAAATTAGAATTATCTCCATAAGAAATAAGTATTCCTTCCAGGCCTTTTTAATATGAGTTAATAGGAAAAGTAGTATTAAATCAGAAGTTACATATTATTCATTCGATTTCTTATGATTCATCAATCATAATAGGGGGATTAGGTAATGATGCTTTTCAAATATGGGGTTGGGGTTGGGGTTGGGTTTGGGTTTGGGGTT